ACAGCTAAAAATCATTTCTGAAGAAAAAGGAGAAGAAAATGTGCAAAAATCCGCAAAAAGAAGTGAAAGAAATTACACGAAGAAAAACGAGATCAGAAAGTCAAAGAATTCAAAGATAGCCGCGTTGGAAAGACGAGAAAACAAAATAAAAATATAAAAAAAGAATTTAAATTAATTAATGATGTTTAATTAAAATAAATTATTGGGAATTAATTATTTAATTTCTAAATAATTTATATTAATTAAATTAATTTAATTTAATTTAAATTGGAAAAAGGAAAAAATATATATATAAAAGAAACAAAAATTGAGCCCAAATTCGGAACTAGCCCAAAATCGGAGCCCAAAACCCGAAGCCCTGATCCATTCTCGCGACCCAGATCCGGAAGATCCGAGCCCGATCCGGAGTTCGCCCCGCAACCATTTCGTCTCACAAGCAGAACCGATTCGCCGACCCGACTCCGATCCGACCTGGGAATTTAGACCCGCGTGTTTTATCGTCTGTGACGTCATCGGAATCCGATCCGTGCCCAGTTCCGACCCGATCCGACCCGCTTATCCGATTCGTTTACTCTCACACAGGATCCGCGCCTCGACCCGGTTGACGACCCAAGTCCGATCCGATACTATTCACAGCTCTAAACGACGTCGTTTTATGCTCCAGATTTGCCAATTCCGATTCCATTCCATTTTTAACCATTTTTTCTCCACTTTTTCCTATTCTAAACCCATTCCTTTCCAACCAATACTCAATAATTCACCACCTTTAAACTTTCCAACCATTTATTCCCATCTTTTTATTTCTTTTGAATTCTTTTTCATTAGATCCAATCTCAATTCATTTCTTTTTGGTATTTAATTCTTCCAATTTTTACTATAAATACCACCATTTTTCACCACAAAAAAAAAAGAAAAGAGAAGACATTGCAATTATGCATTTTGATACACAAATTTCTTCCAACCTTTGAACCAATTTTCTACAATTGAGGATTCAAGAGTCAAAGAGCTAAGGAATTGAAGATTGCAGTGGCATTAGGGACTACATCGGGTTTGTTTTATCGAAATGTTTAACATTCTCAATATGTTTTCTATGTATGTTGTAACTTTAATTTGCATGTTTTGACTTCCTAAATAATTGAGTTATTTGAGAGTAATCGAATTATTTGAACGTTCCACAGTCGCTCATGCTTTAGGAGTAGGTATGAAAGAAGATTGTCATGAATTGGTGTGTAGATTGTCTAAAGTGTATTAGACATAGCAAAAGTTTGCTACAACGTTCATGAGTGCTTACGAATATGATTTGAGCATTGGATTAAACCCACGCTCACTTGGATCGCTTCATGGATTTTATCACGAGTGATTGGTGAGACGATAATATCTTATGTTCTTGAAACCGAGATGTGTGAGTTGTATCTTGCGAGTTGGTTGCACATTGATAATATGTAAACGCACCAGTAACTTGGTGTTATAAAACGTATTGTTGTGTGTAATTCGGTGTGTGAGTACAAGCGAGCATTGAGTCGAAGTTTATCCGTTCCTTTTACCCAATGTGGGATAAATGCGATATCTGTGGGTCCCTCGATGATTTAGTGATGACAAAGGAAAGTGCTCGGCCGGGCCAGGACTGATTTGATTTGTTCAATTAGTCAGTTGTCATAAATCAGAAATCGAGAAACGACACATAGACTGAGAGAATGATTTCAATCCATGTCTCACGTCTATACGATATCTAGAATGGAGGAATATATGATCTCTTATCTAAAGGACGCGTATCTGATAAGAACAGAGTTGACAACGGCTTTTGAAAGCTACGATTGCGGATCAGGATCTGAAGTCATACGCAGAATAGTTATTAGACTTATCCAAGTGGGAGACTGTTGGATTAGTGTCTAAGTCCATAACTATTTTGGTATGTACTTGACCCGATGGTGCATGATCCTTTTGGGTTGCCTTCACCAAAGCAACTTGATAGGATGAATTATGGAGAGAGAGATTTAATTATGATTTATTAATATATTATATGAATAATATATTAAAGGAGAAATCATATTATTTAATTAATATTGGTCAATAATTAATTAAGAATTAATTTTGTGGCTAAAAGAGATTAATTAAACTTAAGGGACTAGAACTGTCAATTGTGTGATAGTTGAATATTGGGCTATTGGACTCCTTATTAGAGGAGTGGACGAATTCTATGGGGAAACCCATTAGAAATCATCCAAGGCTTCTAAAGGAGGAGTCCATGGGTTGCTTAGGGCCTAAGCAGTCAAATTAGGGTTTCCTTGTTATATAACCCTAATAGCCTCACTATTTAAGCACCCCTAGGGCACCAAAAACGTGGCTAACTGATTCCTAAGGGTTTCTAGACATTTTTGAGTGCCTCTCCTCTTCTCCTTCTGCATCCTTTTGCTCTTGGTGTTTGTGAGCCATTAGAGGAGTGACATTTGTGACTCTAAGCTTTTAGAAGCCTATTACTAGAAAGAATAGATTGTTATTGCTACATAATAATCAAAGGTAAGATCTAAATCCTATTCTTATGTTTATATTGATTATCACATGCTAGATCTAGGGTTTATGGCTTTGGATGATTATTGCATGTTCATTAGACAAACTAGATCCAAAGCTTTAGGGTTTGCATGTACACCATAGGAATGTTGTAGTGCTCAAAACCCATCAAAAATATGGGTAGATGAAATAGTCGATGTGTGATAAAATGATGAGAGGCCTCGATGTTTACGATGATCCAGTCATCTAGCGGAGTAAGATGACGACCACGAACTATTCTAGACAGTCTAGTGGAACGCTAGCAGGCTCGCAACCTGTAGGTGTTTATTTGAACTACGTGTTCACCAGGTGTACTCCATCCCCCTCATGGTTGCCTTATTTGACATGTATTGCTGAGGAATCCCCTAAACAATGTTGTCCACCCGATGAAAATCCTTAGGCTAGGGCCCTTATAGTAGATGCTTTATGGACGTAAGGTGATGATAACGGGAATGGGTAATCGGGTTGAATGATTTGACGAAATTAATGAACTTAATTATTGTGGGTTGAAAATCCTATGTGCTCACCAGGCTCCCAAGTCTGACCACTCAGTTTATTACATTACAGGTAGTGGCAAGAGAGCACATGATTGATGGTATGATGAGAGATCAATGGATTATAAGTCACTAGAATAAATAGATGTTATAAGGCCTATGTTGTTTCTGTTTATGCTTTCGATCTGTATTGACAATGACATCCCGAGATTTTTAATATAATGAAAATACATTTCTTTGGAAGTGTTTTCATAAATTCTTTATCATATTCTTGGGAACAAATTCTGCAACATATTTCTTTTAAAAGTATACTATGATTTTGAAATAAAGCATAAACAAATCAGTCTTTTCTGACCGTGAAAATAGGGATGTCACATACCGAACTCCCGGATCATCCAAATTACATTACCCACACCCAAATGAGTCTAAATCTCTTTTCCTCAAAGGCCCTAAGCCTGATAATACACGGTCTTCGGGTCACCACCCCCACATAGGAAACGATTCGGAACAGGGCGTTACAAATCCATAGCCAGAAACCATCATCACCACCATCTAGGAATCACAACCCCATTAGTGAAACCAAAATTCATAAAATTAAACGATTTCGATCCATGGATTTAACCCAAAAAAACCCTGATTTCTAACAAAAATTGCATCAAATCCAGAAAAAAAAACATGATTTCGATTAATTAATTCAATCACAAAAACCTGATTTCAATCCAAGAACAATGGTTGGAAAAAAACCTGATTTTCAGGACCAAAAACTTGATTTCAGAAAAAAAAAATCTACTTATGCGTTTTAGAAAAAAATCGAGTTCATATCTTGCATCACCGAACCCTAGCTCTGTATGTATTTTCGGCGAGAGGGTTATAGATCCAAGAACGATGGTTGGAACAAATCTTCCAGATTAGAGCAAAAGAATGAATGCAGATGACACCGGGGGAGGTAGACTGTGGTTTGAGAGGGGGCAAATGAGTGTTTGGAAGAATGAATGCAAACAATATAAGTTATTTCCGAGTGGTAGCTGGCGATGACATCATAATTTCAGTTTTCATTGATTATTTGAGTGATTATTATTATTTTATTTTCAAAAATTATGTCTCGTAAGTATCTGGTAGTAAATAACGTAAAAAAGAGAAAGAATTAAAGAAGTAACACAATCTGAAAGTGGGTTTCTAGATAAGTTTTCTTCCAAAAAAACCCACAAGTTTCTTCTCAAATAAAAAAATGATGACATTTTTGATATTGTGTGTATTGATGTCGAGAGAGATAATGTTAATGTTGATAATGCCAATGTCATAGATATCATGTTGACAATGCTACTATTTTTTTTGTTTTGATTCAATGTTACAACAATTATGGCACAATTAATGAAGTTTGATTATAAGTAAAAAAATATATTTAGGAGTCCATTTTTTAGTCTTTGTACATTACCCTTAAAATCGATGGAATGACCCTCTTAAAAGACAACTTGTTGATTTTTATATTTCCCATGTGGATCTATAATGGAATTGATCTAGTGAAGAAGATGGTTGTTTTTATCAAGTATCATATGAAATCCTTTATTGCTTATTTATGAGTTTAATGAATTTCTATCTTCATGTTTATACCTTGTAAAAAATTGAAATTAAACACCTTTTATGTAACAAATAATTTCTCTAAAATTTTATTAATGATTTAAAATACAAATTTTTTTTTGAAAAATATGAGTTTATATTTTGTTTTTACTTTTATATTTTATAAAAATAATAATGAGTTTATAAATTATAACCACACGATATTACACATTATTTAATATAAAAAATGAAAGTTGAAACTATTAGAAAATATTTTACTTTGGTAACAAAATGGATCAGTAAATACATAACTCCTTGTTTTACGCGGCATGCCCACAAAGAAAAAACCCGACCCGGTTCAAGATATAAAGCTGTTGACGTGAGAGAAAATTAGAGAGAGAGAGAGAGAAAGATAGGCAACGCAAAGTGTACACAGATCTGTTCATCCGGCCGTTCGACCGACCTACCGGTACCGGAGCTCAGCGCCGACAAGAGATCCAGAAACAAAGAAGAAATACTCTCCGGATCGGTACCATACTTTTGATACAGGGGAATTCAAGATGATGTCCGGAAATTACACAACCATTGACAACCAGAATGTTTCTGGATCTGTTCCTGTAAAACTTCTTCTCCTCTTCTTCAATTGCGTTTTCATCACTTCGATACTAGATCTGAACCCTAATGTACTGTTTTCATCGATTCGCAGGCTGTTTCAGATCCTCCAGGACAAGTCTCTGTGAAATTTAATGGTACTTTTACGCGTGACGAGTTTTCTTTGCTATGATTATGTTATTTAATTTATTCGTTGGTAGCTGGATTATATTGTAAGCATTAAGTAATTTGGTTGTTGGTTGTTGCAGATTCAACTCTCCAAACCTTTCCCCCATCTGGAACACAAGGCAAGATCTCAGGCGCTTCTGGACCTCCCCGCGATGCCGATGGTGTGTGTTTAAATTCTTGAAGCATCTTATTAGTTTTCAACTATCTACTGCAATTTAGTAACTTCAATTGATGGATCTCATTTAGTTCAGCTACATAGTTAAATCCATATAAACTACATCAGTTTTAGGGCTTAGATTAATAGCATTTTAAGTTTCTTCTGGATTTGAATGCAACATGACTTAGTTAACCTATCTAAAACCTCAGCCAATTGGAAAACAAGACTCATGTTATCTTAATCCTCCAAGCAAGCTACCAACAAATGAACAGCTATCAATTAGACTTATTAGAGATGTAATCTTTGTTATATTTTCTCTTCAGATACATTCTCAAAGCCAGTATCTGGTTCATCAGAAGCACAACAAAGTAGTGGTTGGTTCAAGGTATTCACAGTTGCTGCTTACCAGCCTTACTTTGATGTTGACACATCTGATGTTTTAGAAAGAATCAAAGATTCCCTCTTGCCCTTTGGAGGAAGCTTCAATGAAAAAACCGCTAGCAACCCAGACTTGTAAGCTTTTAATCTATCCATTTCCTACTAATCTTCAAACCTTTACCCCTTAAATTACATCCTTGATCTTGAATTGCTTTTGTTATACTCAGGTATGGACCTTTTTGGATATGCACTACCTTAATCTTTGTTGCAGCTTCTATTGGGACATTTGTGACTTATTTGGCTCACAAGCTACAACATAAAGAATGGAACTATGATATCAATCTAGTAACATGGTCTGCTGGAGTGTTCTATGGATATGTGCTTGTTGTGCCTCTTTGTTTGTACATTATTCTCAAGTACTTTTCTGCCCCTTCTGGCCTTGTTCAACTATTCTGTCTATACGGATACTCCCTGTTTATCTTCATTCCAGCCATGGTAAGTAACCTTTTCTTTCTCAAATTCTTTCATAAGGGTAAAATTGTCTTCTTACATTTAGACGCACTTAGGTGGTATGTTAATGTCACCGAGACAAAAATTGTAATTTTTTGTTCCACCCAAAAAGGTGAAACAATGTAGGACAGAGACTCGCTCTTGATCTCTTGTTTGTGAAAAAGACGTAAATACCCTCCTCATTCTCATAATCCAAAATAGTTATAGAAAGCTTTTCCAATCCCATTCCATTCTATCCCCGTGTAACAAACGCAATGCGTTTGTTACATGTGATTAGACTGACCTGAATTCGAGAAGCTTTGTAGGGCTATTTTTGATGATGAGGATGAGAAGGGCATTTACGTCTTTTTCACAAACAAGAGATCGAGATCGAGAGCGAGTCTGTGTGCTACATTGTTTTCATCTTTTTGGGCGGGACAAAAAATTACAATTTTTGTTCCAATGGCATGAGTCATACACTCACAGTCTGTCAGCAGTCTGTCCAATGCATGCAAAACACAGTATAAGTATAATCTGTTCTGTCATATCTTGTCCTGGGTGGGCCCACCTTACAGATGATTTTTGGAATTGCAGTGTCTATCGGTTGTTCCAATGGAGATATTTAGGTGGGTGATAACGGGTGTAGCGGGGGTAATGTCGGCATTATTTGTGTCACTGAATCTAAGAAACCACATAGTGGCGGCGGGTGAGCGATGGTTCCTAATTGTGGCCGGGATTTTTCTCTTGCAGTTGGCTCTCTCTGTTGTACTTAAGCTGTATTTGTTCAATGTGAATGTGTAGTTTTTTTTTTTTAACAGAAATTGGTAATGGTATCGAAAATTTATAGGGATTTTAGGGTAAATGGAGTTTTGTGAACTTAAGATTTGAATGTTTTCCATGGACAGAAGAGAAACTATATTCTTATTTTTTGATATATACAGAGATTGAAAATGTAGTAATTGGTAATGGTAAGAAATAAATTGATGATGTTGAGCTACTTGGCAAATTTATTTCTATGTTTTTGGGTTGAACAAAGGGGCAAAGAAGACCCCCTCCACCCAATACGATTCATCATAACTATGATCCCTATTATGATTATTATCGTATCTTTTATGATTAAAGAAAAGGTTATAATCCAAAATTTGTTATAAGACAAAAAAAAAAAAAAAAAAAAAAAAAAAAAAAAAAAATATATATATATATATATATATAATATATATATATAATATAACATATTGGTTAAAAATGTTATGATGTGATTAAAGATGATAAGATCCTACATATTATAAACCATTTTTTTAATAAGGTCGAAAATGATGATCATTTTGTTTGCAAATAATTAACCAAAAATGTTTATATCCTTAAATCTTATAATTCAAAAATATGTTGATCTGAATATGTCATAATTTCTATAATTTCTAACCAAATTTGGAATATTTATGATCTTTATATTTTAAGAGTTGAAACACCTAATAATCAAAAAATTCAAAACAAAAATAAAGTATTAAAAAATAATAAAACGAAAAAGACAAATAAAAAACATAAAAAAAAAAAAGATTCGTACTTTCTCAAAAGTATTAAACTTTGTGCTTTTTCCCAAATTAACAAGTGACGTAGACTCAGCCATGAAATTAAAATAGTAAAATGATTCATATTTTTTCAAATACGGTAAATGCAAAATATAAAAATTCAAATGTTAGCATCACAAACAATATGAAATCCGTAATCCAATAATTAGAAGGTAGGACTAGCTCACTTGGTTAATATGATGTTTAACAATGTGTTTATAGTAAAAAGATATTGTGCTCAATCCTAAGCATATACCAAGTGACCCTAAAAAAAAAATTGTATAATTGACAAATGGGGATAATGACTTTGTAAGGCTAACATAGTTTATGTTTTGTTCGTGTTTAGCCTTTAAGTTATTTTTTTTGTCTAATATCATTGAACTTGTTTGAGCTGTTCACATCACGTCTTTATGATCGGTTGGTGTAGATAACATAGTTTAGATTTTGTTTATATTTAGTACCTTAAGGTTTTTTTGTCCACACATTACTATTGAACTTGTTTGAAATGTTCACATTACATCCTTATGAATCTGTTTGAACAATTGACATTACATCATTATGACCTGAAAACTCCGTTTGTCTTTTATGTTGCCATTGAACCGTATTTCAACTAGCCTGTAAAAGAGGTGTTTCAGTTTAAGCTCGGACCTACTCAATCTTTCATCTTCTTTAAAATGTTATAACTCCTTCGTTCGAAGTCGGAATGTCATAACTTTTTTCAACATGTAAGTTGTGTGTACTTCATTTTAGACTATATAAGCACCTTATTTTGTTACATGTTGATTGAGTTGTAGGTTTCGAAACATAAGGTATCAAAGCAGAATTTATGTTATTTCAGCATTGAGTTTATTATTTGTACTTCATTTTAGACTATGTAAACACCTTATTTCTTTATATACGGGGTTAAATTTTGTTGGTTGATTTGGTATTATTCTAATAATTTGGGCTCAAATCATCAACTAGTTGTACAAACTTCATAAGAACATGTGCCAATTCCAACCTGATATCGAACCAAAAACCAACATCGGCACCATAATTGGTATAGTCTAACTAGTCTAGTTATCACTTATCAGTTCTCATTATTAGTCTAAACCGGTTCCGGTTTCAAATTGGGTTCAGTCCGGTTTGGCACTAAGCACCATTGGCTATACCGAACTGGTTGTTCATCCTAGTTCCAACTGAGCACAATTGGCTTAGTTCGTCTTTATCTGACCAACTACCTAATACCATGCAGACTCATCAAACAACGATATCAGTCCTAAAAAGATCAAACCATTTCTCTAGTGATGTGAATAAATTATTTATACAAAAGATTAATGACTTATAAGGATAATATATTTTAGGTTTTGTTCATATTTGGTCCCTTATGTTTTTTTGTCCATATATTACAATTGAACTTGTTGGACTATTTACATAACATTCTTATGACCGACTAAAACCTACACTAACCGGTCATAAGGACGTAATATGAACAATCCAAACAAGTTCAATGGTAATATGTGACAAAAAATAACTTAAAAGACTAAACGTGAACAAAACCTAAACTATGTTACATTTACAAGTCATTATCCTTTGACAAATGATATGAAACTCCATGTGCTATTTTACAGTGGACAAATATGGACAATGTTTTCTTTTATGTTATTTTCAACTTACTAAAAGATTACAATTTGCAAATTATTGATTACTTATTTAATTTCTTCTCGGGATTTTATAATATATGATATTTTACAGTGGAAACGCATTAATTACACAGACTATTCTCTATAATTAATTTATTTCATATTTTTCAAATTAGAAAAATTCTCTATAATTAATGTATTTTCATATTTAATTATGATAATATTTTCCGTAATTAATGTTTCTTATGTTTACCCTTTGGACACATGTTAGAAAATCATTTTTCTTTATTATATTACCATACTAGTTTATAACCCATGAGAACTACGGTTATAAAATTAATTAAACTTTTATAGTAAAAACTCAAAATTATTAATCAATTATTTCAAATAAATTATTTTAAATAAATTTTTAATTAAGAGATGTTTTTAGTTATATAAAATTATAATCATTGATTTAAATAAATACATGAAAGCATATCACCTTATAATATATTTTAATTTTATTTAATTTTTTATTCTAATTTTATCAATTTAATGTAATTAGAGTATGAAATTTAAATTTTAAAATTTGAAATGAAGAATCAATTGTTAATTTAATGTAATTAGAGTGAGAAATTTTAAATTTTAAATTTTAAATGGAGAATTAATAGGTTGACAAATGACATGATAGGTGACATATAATATTAATGAAGATTTTTTTAATATTGTGACACTTGTCAATAGGAGAATAAACTTATTCATTTATTAGAATAGAAAGAAGAAAGATTATATGAAAAATTATTTTGAAAAATACTATAAAGGGTTTGTGAATATACAATATTTTCTCCATATTTAATTATTATATACCCATATTATAATTAATTATTTTAAATTTACTAGAAATAGATTTTTAATAATACTAAAAGATGAATTCCATGCACTCAAAGGTTAAAGGTGACCGTCTTATATAAGAAAAAACTTCATAAATAGTCTCTGTATTTTCCATAAATCTGGTATATACTTCCTAAATTCAGAAAACTTCATAGATCATATCTATATTTTCAAAACTTTTAACAAACAGTTTCTTACCCACATAAAAAGGACTTATATACCCTTCTGAATATATTTTTGATTTTATTTATTTAAATCTATTTAAAAAAAAAGAAAATAAAAGAAAATGAATAAAAGCCCACATTATGCATCTCTCTCTCTCTCTCTTTTTCTCTCAAGAACATACAATAAAAAACACACACTCCCTTTCCCCTTATCTTTCCTCCCTGCAACCGAAACGTACCAACAACCACATTCCTTTGTCTTTCTCCGAGCATGACGATTTTGTTTTCGAAATGTCTGATATTGCAAAAGGTGGATTGAAGGGAACATATGAGGTCGACGGTGGCGACGGTTCTATTAGAGATAAAGAGAGTTAAGGGCTAGCGTTCAACTTCCTCGACGTCCTTCTTCTCCCAAATCGGCTTCTGCTTGTTTCGATCTCTGTCATCCACGAACCTGGAAACGAGTATTCTGGTATTTGGGGGAAAAATCAACCGAATTTTGATCTTTGACGACTTCTGCTTCTTTACATACTTAAATATGTTATCCATAAAATCAACAAGGTGAGAATCATCTTATGTGGTATTGATTTCACGTATGTTTTTTATTATAAGGTTCGGTTTTGAGCTTTGATTTCATGTATTATTTTGGTATGGCTTTGAGCTTTGATTTCAGATTTGATATCTTGATTTCATATTTGGTTATGAGCATTGATTTCATATACTAAGGAAGAAGCATGATCAGCGAGCAGAGTGGGGTTCAACCAAGATCTGTCCTTTCTTTCCCCTTCATGTAGGTCCAAGAAAAATGAGAAAAGACGAACCGGGTGTATTAAGAGCGTCATCAGGGGGTTTTGGAAGATCTGTTGATTCCTCCCCAAATTCCCAGAAAATGGATGTTCTTTGTTGGAATTTATGATTCATATGCTGGTGTTAGGAGGATGGTGATGAAGAAGAAGGCGGGATCTTGGATTGGATTGGATGACGATGACGACCCGTATAAGAAATGATCTAGGAAAGAATTTGATCATGGGGTTTATAGGTTTATGCACATGAACATTGGAAGAAACAGATGAATATATATATATATATATATATATATATATATATATATATATATATATATATATATATATATATACAAGTAGGTTCATGCGAAAACATAAATATCCTGCGAAAAAGCGAAAACATATTTTATCTTATAAAAATCAAACACAAGTACTATAAAAATTAAATTTATTAGTAATAAATTAAAGATAATAAGTTTACATTGGATTGTGTTATGATACTATAGATTTAAAGACGATTTTATCAACTATTTTTTTTCACGTTCTTGACCACTTTTAAATTCATGTTTTATAATAAAAATGTCAAAAATCATATTTTGCTAATATGAAATAATTTATCATGTATAATCGATTATCATCATGTAGTTCAAAGTTTGGATGAATTATTGTCCAAAATATAAGGTTGAGGTGACACAATCTCATAGTTTTTTCTTGTTTTCTTGTTTTCGCAAATTATTTGCATTTTCGCATGAACCCTCCCCTATATATATATATATATATATATATATATATATATATATATATATATATATATATATATATATATAGAGAGAGAGAGAGAGAGAGAGAGAGAGAGAGAGAGAGAAAGAGAGAGAGAGAGAGAGGCTCTTCATATATTTAATAATAATAAAATATTAAAAGGAAATAATGAAAAATGAAAAATAAATATATAAATGGTATAAATGTCATTTAATTTCGAAAGGGACTAAATCTACAATGAAACTAACTAAAAAGGGCTGGTTGTTAAAAGTTTTGAAACCAAATGATGATTTATGAAGTTTTTTAAAGTTAAAAGACTATATGTTAGATTTGTGAAAAACACTCTTGAAGTTTTTTTTATTATATAATAATATTCGCTCTCAAACTAAAATAATGAATTTAAAAGGTCAAACATGATAGAATTCATTAATTTTTTTTTAACTAATGACCGAATTTGATTATGTTACCAAAAAACACTAATATAATAATCATCACTAAACTTTGGGTACAAAAGGACACATTAACAGATTCTTGCAATCCACCATAATCGCCGAATCGCGTTTGTGATACTATTAATTAATTCACTAAATCTAGCCAACAAATATGTGTATAAATATAAATTTCCTTCGCTTGAACATCATATTCTCTTCAAGCAAAAAAACATTAACATGGTCAAGCTCATGAGAGCATATGCCATTATCTTGTGCTTAACTTTTCTAACATTGCTTGTTGGTCGTGAGGGTAAGTTTTCTCTTCTTTATCTTTTCATCATATCCGTGGAAAACATAAGCCACGTACATCTATATATACATGGATAGATAGACAAACATATACATGCTCATAACGTCTAAAGTTTGGTTGAATTTCTTCCATTATCTCTTATGACACATAGAGCGACCAAAATGAATGATTATATATATATATATATATATATATCAACATGAATGCAGGCACAAGAGTTGCAAGCAAAGCCGAAGAAGAAAAAATAGGGTGGAGTATTTGCAATGCTTATCGCGCTTTTCCAGGATTGAAGTGGTGTTGTTGCGATGACCAAATATCGTGCTTTTCTACTAAAGAATCGTGTGTTCAATTTTGTGCGGAGAGACGTCGGGTGTGTGATGAATCGAAACTATGATGATAATCAATACTTTTGTTTTAGATTTTAATCCACTCGATTAAGTAGGATATTGTTCACTTGTTTTTGTTTCCTTTTGAATTATGATAAATACAATATTGATTTTCTTAGGAATTTGCATATTAAAATCTATAGCATTAAATACCAAGTAAATATAAACGTGTATTCATTTTTGTATGACCAACGAGGAAATCAATGAAAACATTGAAGCAATTTTCTCGGTTATAAATATTTGAGTTGTGGTAACTTGATAAGACATTTGAAAGATATTATAACTCATTGATCCATGTTTAAAATCCTGACATTACTTAAAACCATAGATGTTGGCCTACACCGACTCCGGTACAAAGCCATAGCCTTATGTTTTGTTGCAAGGATTAGTCGTTGCACAATAAATTGCTTAAATGGAAAATCTAAAAAGCATCTAACATAGTATAAAACTTTAAATATGGCGAATAAACTTTAAATGGAAAAAAAACTTATACAAATGTTACTATAGTATGGAGAAATTAGCACTATTAGTCCAAGTTTTTATTTTCTTGCAACTTTGGTCCATGGCAGGGACAGATCTAATGATCTGTGGAAATTCTCAAAAGAGGTTTAATGAAATTGGATCAGAAAAACCTAACGCCCAAATCAAAAGCAAAATTGCAATGTTTTGTAAAACAATAATACTTATTATTGATTGTCAAGAAGGGTGGTAGACATAAATAACTATTAATTGAAAGTAAATATAGCTCTAATGCATAAATCGTGGAAACAAAGCTTGAAAGTCTCATGTTATGGCTAAAATCAAATGTTTTAGTAGGGTTAGCTCACTGGCAGATGCTGAGTGGCAGTGTTACTATTCATAAATTTCATAATTGTTAGGTTATATAATTACTAACTTGGGCCAAGGGTTGATAATGGGCTTAATCAAATATATTTATGTATGGTTATGTTTAATATGTTTGTGGACTATTGTTAAATACAATTCAAACAGTTCTACACAATATAAGGCTTAGCGAGTGGTCTATGGCCCAATGATACTAGGATTTGACATATATGTGTCATGATTAGGCAAAAACTTGAAGGTTTAAGTTTCTTTTGAAATAAACGATGTAGATTTAAAACGAGAATAATGGATGTGTGAATTAGTTGTTCTAAAAAATTATTGGGTTATGGGGATTCACCACGAATGAATAGCGGAAGCAAACAAAAAAACATGTCATGAATCCAATAGTAGATCCATATTTAGCTAATTAGTTGCAACTAAAAACAAAAAACATAAAAAAATAGAAATTATACCTTTAAAGTCCTTTGAAACCTTTCTAGTGCTCGATGAAGAGATGACATAAAGAGCACAAACCAGACTTCCTCTTTTTATAGTCACACTCAAGAGTAGATTCAACAACCTTGACAAGCTCCGGAAACTGCAACACATAAAACCCTAAAGGGTTAGGATTTCTGCTCGTAACTCACGTCGCGACCAAAGAACTGTCGTGTTGCGAAAAGATTGGTTTTGGGATTTTAAAAGTGGGGTGAGAGACAACCAAATTCTAGGGTTAAAATCTCTTAAAATTCATTCCTAAGGCTCATCTATTTATAGGGGGTTTTGAACCCTTATGGATAATTACTTGGTTACTAAGTAATTATCCATAAGTTTGGTAATTATCCTAAAAGATCCAACTTTCAGATGTTCAGATTTAAACCCATTAAATGTACAAATTTCTTATTAATAAATTAAACCCTTAATTAGTTAACAAAGTAGACCCCAATAAAACTCTTATGTTAATTATTGCTTATATTTGTTGTAACATCCTAAAGTTACAACCAGGTTCATAAATTTATAAAGTAAATAAATGAAAGATGATTTATATAGCTAAATCTTCAATGGATAATCATATCATTAATTGGTATGAAGTTTAAAAAGTTAGAAGATAAAATAATAACATTTCAAAAGTTAAAGGGCGAAAAGTGTCAAGTTGGCAAAGTGATTTTGACCAAAAGATTGACTCAACTAATGGAAGGGACCACCAAATTTATAAAATATATGAGAAAGGACTTATTATGTAAAAACTTGAGTTAAAATCACAAATATTGAGGTTTGGTGGGTTTTGGACAAAAGATGTAAACTAAAGGGACCAAATGTGAAAATGTTGGGGAAATAAGATGCATCCATCTCCCCCTTATTCACCCATAACATGGAAAACAAGTGAAGAGCTTCTTTAATGGTGGGTTTCCTCCATTATTAACTCTAGGGTTTGAATCAAACAAGTTTTGAAGCATCCAAGCAAAAAAAAAGGAAGCAATTATAGGCTTCGAAGGGTGTTGGTCGAAGGATTGCTATGTAGACAAGAATATGATCACTGGATAGTCTTGGGCCAAGCCAAGCCCCACGACCCATGTATGAGGCCACCCCCAACACGTTGCCTTGATTTCTCGAACGATGACCTGAAAACTAGCCCCGTTGCCTTCATTTTCCTCGACACGTTGCCTTGATTTCTCGAACGATGACATGAAAACTAGTTGCCTTCATTTTCCCCGACACGATGACCTGAAAATGAGCCCCGTGGCCTAGATTTTCCTCGACGTCGTGCGCATACTAAAAATTATGCATCCTCAGGGAAATCAATGTCTGTTCCTGTCACCAAGCTCTTTGTGCAATATGTATATATAGGGGGGTGGCCGTGAGTGAGCACGACAAGGGGTGAACGCGCCAGACGACCTTTGAGCGCGATCTTGGTTGACGGTTGCTTAGTTCCGTGTTGCTTACATAATACCCCTCCGAGTGGGGGCCTTGGCGGGGTGTGGGGATGCCTCGTTAGGTCGCTGCGACAACGTTCCAGGGTTGTGGTCTCGCCTTGGCAGTGCGGGATGAATATGTTTGTGTGGTAGTAAAATCACGATGTGTGTGCTAATCTTTGTTCGACGTGCTACTGGTGCCAGCCAGCATTTGATTTGTGCTGATGATCAGGAAAACATAGGCGTTAAAGTGGCATGTGTTGCTTTTTGTGATACTACTACTGTATGCTGGTGTATCCTTGTTAGACGTGCGATTGGGTGCCTAAGCGTAGCTAGCATTGGTTTAGCGCCGACAACGTGGAGGATGCAAACATTATCGAGAAGTATTGTCAGACATTTAGGATCATCACGGCGTGTTGAAGTTATCTTGGAAGCACAAAAGATGCCATGCCTGGCTAGCGTCTTTGTGTGGGCGGGGTAGCTTCGTACATTGCAATAAGAAGACTTGCCTTCTCTGTGGTACGATTGGTGCCCATGCCCAGCTAGTGCTGGTCGTATAGGATCAAAAGACAGGCATTAAGAGGTCCCTTCTTGCTATCCCCGACCCAAGCACATACTATATTGCCCATGCCCAGCTAGCAATGATGTGATTAGGTCAGCAGCGTTGCCTGTCCTTTTTTGCGCATCGTTTGGTGCATTATGGGGGTTGTTTTTAGCTTATGGTTGCTTGCATGGCCTTGTGCCAAGTTGGTGGCTGTTAGTTTGATGATCTTCGGGGATGTAGACCCTAAAGGTACATGAGTGGTGTTTGGTTTGTAACGGGTGGTTGGATGTCTGCTTGAGCAGCAACTTCCATGCGTTCTTACCTCTTCAGTTGTGTTACAAGGCGAATTTGAACTTTTTCAAAACTAGGGTTTTAGAATTTAAAATTTCAAAAAATTAAACTTTTAATCAAAATTTAAATTCCAAAACCTGAGGGCAAGTTTTGAAACATTTCAAAACATTAGGGTTTAGAACTTAAATATTTCAAAATTAAACTTTTAATCAAAAATTTTAAATTCCAATGTTAGGGTTTAACTATTTTAATTTCAAAACTAAAACTTTTAAAGTTCAAATTTAAACTATAAAACCTAAGGGGTGTAAATTGAAACATTTCAAACTTACTAGGTCAAATATTTGACTAATAATAATCCTATATTATCCATATTTAACCAAATCCATCAATTTTGATGAGGATAACCCTTCCAAACTTAAAATTTTGGATTTTGGTAAGAAAAACGAGTTTTGGCAATTATCCTCAACAAAATCTGGCAGAAAATTCGAAAATCCCGGCACCAGAGCCCTGGACTCGTTGATTCCACAATGGAACTCGTCGAGTAGGACCTACTCATCGAGTCCATTCATGAACTCTATGAGTCTGCCAGTCAGAAACCAAAAAAATTCGATTTTCAAGCAAGCAATGAACAATTAAGCATCAAATCATCATACAAACAGCCTAGGCTCTGATACCACTGATGGGTTTTAAGCACTACAACATTCCTATGGTGTACATGCAAACCCTAAAGCTTTGGATCTAGTTTGTCTAATGAACATGCAATAATCATCCAAAGCCATAAACCCTAGATCTAGCATGTGATAATCAAATAACATATGAATTAGGGTTTAGATATTACCTTGATTGTTATGTAGCAATAACAATCTCAATTCCTTCTTGTAATTGGATTCTGAAAACTTAGTGTCACAAGTGTCACACCTCTAATGGAGTCACAAACACCATAAGTAATAAGGATGAAGAAGGAGGAGAGAGAAGACACCAAAAACGTCTAGAAACCCTAAGGAATCAGTTAGCCACGTTTTTGGTGCCCTAGGGGTCCTTAAATATGTGAGGCTATTAGGGTTTTGAACTAGTAAACCCTAATCTGACTGCATAGGACCTAAGCAGCCCATGGACTCCTCTTTTAGAGGCCTTGGACGAATTCTAATGGGTTTCCCCGTAGATTTCGTCCACTCCATCCTCTATGGAGTCCATTAGCCCAATATCCAACTATCACACAATTGACAATTCTAGTCCCCTTTATTTAATTAATGTCTTTTAGCCACAAAATTAATCCTGATTAATTCTTGACTATTATTAATTAAATAATATGATTTCTCTCTTAATATATTATTCATATAATATATTAATAAATCATAATTAATCTCTTTCTCCATAAATCATCCTATGAAGTTGCTTTGGTGAAGGCAACCCAAAAGGACCATGCTCGCAATCGGGTCAA